AAAAAAAAATTATTTCTGCTCAAAACAATTTCCCACTGCCTTTCCGTTTCTTTCCTAGCATATAACAGTCTCTCTGCTTTTCTTAACATTTGATGAGCGAATTCTTTATTCTCTCCACCACATGGCATATCTATATACATACATATACATATATGTAGGTCCTGTTTACAAAACATTCTCCACTTTCGTATTTTGGCCCACATTCCTTAGCCGAGCTATACCCATTGAGACATATCTACAACCCCACTAACTACATAAATACATATGTATGTATGTATGTATGTAAGTGAAGTTTAGTAGAAAGTAATTTATTTTGTTTTCTCATAACTGCCTGATTTTTGTTGCGATTACGTTTCACTTTCATTCTCGCTCCTCCTTTTAACCTTATATCGCTCCACTACTACAGTTCGGTCATAGTTCTTTCTATTCGATTGTCTCAGACGAATGTTATGTAATGTACTAAATACATAAGTACTCGAAATCACGAAGCCGTTCTTAATGATGTCATTCAATTTGGGGCAAATGAGTTTTACGAAAATCCAATAAAATGTATCAGCTGCAGGTCTGTTCAGTCATTTAACCTGTAGAAGTGAGTTTAATTTTCTATTATTCTATTTCTATTATTCTATTAAACTACGTGCCAGTCAGTGGCGGACCCCCGGGGGGTGTTTTAATACATAGACGCCATATTATACATACATATTCACCATATGCAAGCCAATTTATCAATTTAACTGGTAAACTTCGAGTTAAATAGATATTCTGCTGTTCTGCCTAACTATACAAAACTAATTACCTGACATTACCACTCACTTTCCGTTTGAAGACTGTCCAAACCAATTGCCATTTACAAATTCTAGTCTTATTCGAGACTCGTAGTCCGCGATCTTAAAAGCCCCAAAATACCCTGTTTTAATAATTTGAATTTTCGAAATATGACTTCAGATTCGTAATAAGCGGCCCCGAAAGCTTTCGCATGCCATGCTTTATTAAAAGGCCTAGATTTCTAAACTTTTGTGTTCGCCATATTGGATCTGCCATTTTGAATTTTTAAAATCTGACTTAAGATTCGTAATCAGCGACCTCAAAAACATAGTATAAAACATATAAAGAGTGTTGTCAAACTGTGTCAAAGCGTCTTTGAGCAAATAGTTTTGTCAACCTACGAGTATATTTGGATTTCAGACCACTGTGCGTCTTACGAATCGAAAATCACGAAATTTTTCTATCATCGAGTATCACACGAGTTGGTTCTGCACTATCGAACAGCATTTATGCACAAACTAAATAAATTTTGCAACTCCAAAAATGTCCACGTAAAATTAATTTACCTCACATTAGTATTCCTTACTTGTGCATTGCATTGCTTTACTCACACCGTTGGAATGTCCGTATGAATGTGGTCTCGCTGGAATCACTCATCACCTCAGTGATCTCACTTTGCACGCTTTATTGACGGACAGCGCAGCACATGATCACTTTATTTCTTAATTATTATTTATTTTACATATTTTTATTTTTCTTCAAAATAAAAAAGTATTCATTTAAATTAACTTGAACATTTAAATTGACAGCTAGCAGTGAACAAAGAAATGCAAACAATGCAAAAAAGTATTGCAATCGAAGTGATATT